CTCTTCGAAACCCAGCTTGTACATCCGGTAGTTCTCGGTTCATGTATTGCTGAAGCCTAGCTTGTAGGATTTTGAGCATAACCTTGCTAGCATGTGAAATGAATGGTACCATTATGGCATTCAAATCTAAATCTTTTTTCTTTTCTTTTCTTTTCTTTTCTTTTCTTTTCTTTTCTTTTCTTTTCTTTCAAAAACCTCAGATGATATCACTCAAGAGTTAGATGATTTCAGCCCCAGGCTTGAAGTATCTGTCCTTCATCATGATCAGATCCTGGTCCTTCACTTGGATGGTACCAATGTAACAGCAAATACTGTGCACGTTCCTGTCTTATTTCTCCTTGTTCCAATAAAATATATTAATCTATAGAGAATCATCAAGAAGCCCAGCTAGGCATTATGACTTGTATTATACATATAGCAATACATAGTCCTATCTTTTTTTAAAGAAAAAGATATCAATATAGGAATATAAGATATCAATATAGGAATATAAGATATCAATATAGGCCAGAAAATAAATAAAATTGTGTTGGGATTTTTTGTTGTTGTTCTGCCTAAATTAAAACTTTGAAATTTAAAGGTCAAAGATAAGGCCATCTTATGAAAGATCACAATCTATTCTGTTGAAAGCATTAGACATGCAATTTTGATTGGTGTGTCATGAAATTAAATTGTTGCTCCATTTTAAGCAGCTCTTAACCTAATTTAAACAAAATTAACCTAATTTTATATGTATATATAATGTGGATAGGCTTACTTACCCTTACTTACTCTCCTTACCCTGAAAAAGGAGGAAAGCTGTGAATTTAGCAAAATACTCTTAAGTGCACAGGAACTGGAGGAGTGAAGTCTTCACTAATGTGTTCAAACGTTTTGAATTGGGGAAAGATTAGATAGTAAACTTTAATGTATTTTCTGCTTTATCATAGACAGAAAAGCTTAGAAGCACACCACTATCTAAAATCATGGGCATGCCGTGAGAAAAAGAATAATAAAGAATTCCTCAACAGTCTCTTTTTTCATCAGCCCCCAAACATTCTTCTCAGCACCAAAGATTTAACTGAACATTACTTTTAATATACATCAGGCAGCTAGCCTTGGCTTTTTTCCTTACTCAGAAGTATGTCTGGGGAATTCCTGAGCAAGATTAGGAGCAAAGCTCTGAGGGAGAAGAAACATGATTTCCCCATCAGAACCACACCTCTTTCCCCAGACTTGTAATCTTTCCATTAAGCAATTAGGAAGAGTAAAATAGACATTCCACAGTTCCTCAAAATAAAGGTCCACTTCTGATAGAGCTACAGGAAGGAAAGGAATTATGATGCTACATCTGAAAATGTCCTTCACCCTTCCTTCCTTAATTTAATCCAAGGCTGGGGAACTTGTGGTTCTATAGACCCTGCTGAATTATAAATCCCAGATTTCCACAATATTCTTTAAGATGGCTGGGACTGTTTCAATTGTAGTTCTACAACTTCTCGTGGACCACAGGTTTTCCCATAAATTATTTTATCTAATAAGCAAGTGGAACAATTGCAAATGGAATCTCAAAAGGGCATTTTAAATGTCGCCATTTATGGCTATTACCACATAGCTTTGAGTTTTGAAGTGCACGCTTGACAGCCAATATATAGCAACCACAGGCATGGCCATTCTTAGTTGCTTTAATAATACTGAAAAGCCATGCAAAGGACCAAAAACAGAAGAACGGTTGTACTAAGGGCATGTGTTGGAAGACTTTCAGGATGTAACATTCACATATCTTCCCATACATTTAATATGAACACATTTGGTATAATTTGGCACATATTACATATATTTCACAAGGCTTCTGCAAGTTCATGTATGTTGTTCCCATCAACTAGGTCAAGGATGGGCAAGTGTTAGGAAGACAGACGATACACATCACAGTTTTGGAAAGGTTGAAGACATGGTAGATGGCTAATGATGCAAAGGGTTGGAGAATTTAGGAAATATGTCACATGTGGGCAGGGTAAAGATTTTATTTTTCCTGAGCTTCAGCTTTAGTCTTTGCCTTTTCAACTATTTAAGCCTATTTTAAGGTGAATACGAACAGCTTTGTGTGCTGCCATTTCAAAAAGACAAAAAAGCATGCTATCAACTTTAAGTAATTGTGATTAGATCAAATTCCTAGGGCTGCAATAAAAGAGGTCAAATTGTCTGTCCTGATCTGATGGATAGAAATAAAATTTATATAACTAGGTAATCATATATGGAGATGCTGCAAGTGCTCCAACACTGTATTTTGAACATTGTTCACAGTTTAGCTGAAATGTTTACCAGGCACCTGTGTTGCATTGGCCAAGCCCAGATCCTAAGGCAGAACAGAGTCAACTCAGAATAGATTTTAATTCACCAAAGCAGAGTGGATGTGTTTGAACCTACTCTGATCTAACTCTTAGCCTCCAGAAAGCTCTAGATGGCAAATGAGGGATGTAAAGCAACCCTCATTTGCCATGGTGTCTGCTCTACAGACGATGGAAAAAAGAATGGTGGATGCCATTTACTTGTGTCAGTTTCAACTTATTTCATGGCAAATTGGGATTCTTTGGGAAGAAGTGGAAGGGTACCAATACTTTTGGCCACATCTGTATGTAAACTTGGCCTTGCAACAGATTTATTTTATGGGGAAGACAATTCTTTTATTCTTTATACCTTTGCCTCAATCCCTGGCAATTAGCTCCACTGCATTCAAGAAGATGTATCATCATTCTTTTAAATATCCATTCTGCTTCACCAAAAAATTTTTGAGTCAGTTTGGATTAGGTCTGGAGTAACTTAAAATGGATTGGATTTTAACCTGGATTCAATGATCTAACTTTACATATTAGTATCTGGCACAAAAAGACACCATCACCACTGAAACCACTAGAGAATATTTAGAGCATGTCTAAACAAGGTGAAAACAGGAAGACATTTTGCCACCATCAAGACCTGACAGTCCAGTATCCAACCTTCCCTTTTTAGGGAAGGTTGTTGAGAATGTGGTCGTGCAGCAGCTTCAAAGATCCTGAATGAAACGGTTATCCTGGACCTCTTTCAGTTGGGTTTTAGGCCTGGTTATGGGACTGAAACAGCATTGTTCATGCTTCTAGGTTATCTCTGGCAGGACTGGGATAGGGATAGCGCATCCATCCTTGCTGTACTTGACCTCATGGGGGCCTTCAACACCACTGACCTTCTGGACCGGCTGCAAGGGTTGGGGGTGGGCGGCACTGTATTGTGCCGGTTTTCCTTCCTTCGCAGCTAGTTCCAGTCAGTGTTGATCAGGAGCAAGAGATCCCGCCCTTGACCCCTACATTGTGGGGCGCTGCAGGGTTTGATACTGCTTAACACCTACCTGAAACAACTGGGTGAGGTCATCCATAGCCATGAGGTAAAATATCATCAGTAGGCTGATGATACCCAGCTGTGTATCATGTGGAGACCCCTGGTGAAGTAAGTGATGCTGTTGACATCCTGTCTCAGTCCCTGGTGGCTGTGGGGGTCTGGATGAGGAACAACTGGGATAGGGATAGCGCATCCATCCTTGCTCTACTTGACCTCATGGGGGCCTTCCCTGGCAAGACTGAGTAGCTTTGGATTTGGGACCACCTGGATTTGGGAATTTACTATCTTTAATTCTGGATGAGATGGCACTGCCCCAGATTATGCCCATTGCATAATCTAGGAATCCTTCAAGACTCATCTCCCACTTGATGAGCAGGTGGCAGTCATGGCTAGGAGGACCTTTGTGCAACTTTGGTTGCGCACCAGTTGCACCCATTTCTGGACCAGAGGCACCTCTGGATGGATTACTGTAATGTGCTCTACACAGGGCTGCCCTTGAAGAGGATCCACAAGCTTCAGCAGGTAGTTATATATGCTCCAAGATTTGCTTCTGGGTTCAATTCAAGGTGCTGGTAATTATCTATAAAACCCTACATGGCATGAGGCCAGGTTATTTGAGGAACCACCTCTCCCCAATCAGATTTACCCATCCCATCAAGTCTAGCAGGAAGGGCATGTTATATTGTTTGTGTGTTTTTAACTTTGTACACCACTCAGAGTCATGTATGAGAGATGGGTGGCTATATAAATTAATTAATTAAATAAATAAATATCTAGTAATGTGTGCTCCAAAGGATAGAATAACATTGCAAGTTATGTTTTGAATATACTGGCCATAACTAGGTGAACAAGCTGTATTACCTGGTTTGCATCATACTAAACCAAAGTGTGATGGAACGTATCTCCGAGGAGGAGAGTGATGTGGGAGATCAAGGCTACCGGGAAGGAGGGGGTGCATTCCAGAAAGGAGGAGGAGGCAAGAGGCAGCATAGTCAGTGGGAGGAGCGTGGGAAGCGAAAGAGGTTCAGGATAGCCACTGAACTCCCAGGGTATATCCACTAGTCGCTGTAGTATAGATTTAGTTTGGCAAGATTCTGTCTATAAGGGGTAAGCTAATAAAGGAACTGTACTCAACTGGAGTGTTTCATCGTTATTCTTGGGCTGGGCCTGACATCAATCTTGCCAAACTCCTCCTCCCTCCTGGAATGCACCCCCTCCTTCCCGATAGCCTTGATCTCCCACATCACTCTCCTCCTCATAGGTACGTTCCATCACACAAAGGCAAGCAAAAAAAAAAAAACAACCCACTAAGGGTTAGCACTGTATGCAGACTAGATCATTTAAACATGTTTAGATCCCCTAAACATCCAAATACCAAAATGAACACAAATGAACAAAGAAAACAATACAATGAAATATTGGGAAAGGTGGATTTATTGTAACAATAATAAATGTATTATTGTAACTAAAAGATTCTTCACATGTCCCCTAGACTCTGTCCCCAATTCCCCAAGGGAGGTACACCTCACAGTTTGGGAAACCCTGTTCTAGAGGTAGCCCGTCCATCCATGGGAAAAAGGAAAAAAAAGAAAAAAATGCAATTTTGTGACTCTTTAAAGAGGTGGGAATTGTTCAAGGCATGGTCTCCATCATGGCCAGCTGGATGCAGAACATAACAGCATCTTCCTACTCATGGCATACTCCATTCATATAATATTCCACCCTGAAATACTATAATCACTGTTGAAGGTATAGAATTTAGGGCTGTTTGATTTGTCAGATTATTAGTATCGTACTGCAGGATAAGAGGTGTTCATATCTACTCCTTCTCTTATTCCTTAAGATTTGCTTAAGATTTTCGATGTTTTAAACTGCCATGACCCTCAGGTGTGAAGCAGCTGGAAAAGGCATCATAAGCAGCAATACCATTGTGAAGTGTAGTGAAAAAAGCCTTTGCTGCCTGCTTTTAATATGCCTGATTCCAGCACATTCAGTTCCAAGGTGATTAGTGGGCAGGTGACATGAGTCAAGGTTAATAAGGATACATATATCCTATTCAATGCATAAAGAGAAGCAGATGGAGCTTGCCAGCTTTTTTTCTTTTGCTGACATTGCATATTTACCTCTCTAAAATATGTATTTTTTTTGCTTGATAATTTATAATAAAGATATTATGGCAGGCAGCTAGATTTTTATGAAGATGTTCAGAATTAGTACTGATTCAAACATGCAGGTAGACTTTATATGTTGCTTCTTCATGATCCATAGATAATCAACCCTGCAAGTTCAGGATTTTAGCAGCACAGTAAGTAGAGGATTGTATCCATCCCAAGAAAGAAAAGTTCAGAAATCACTACTGCCAAATTCAGGATAAACTCCAATCAAATATTAATATGTGTGGGTCAGTTACAAAATATAAAAGTTTATTTTATTGGAAGGAATACCATGCAGATATATAATCACTAATTCATCTTTTGGTGCATGAAATAGCAAACTATCTTACTGAGTCTTCAGGGATTCAATTCACATATTTCAAACCTAATAGTTTGGATTTATGCTTAATAAGCAAGTTCATGGAAGGCAAGTTTTTCATCTCATTGTCCTTCCTGTAGCTCCCAAGGTGTCTTTCCTGAACAATGTAGAATAGCCATGATGGTGGTGGGAGTGAGGAGGTAGAGGAGAAAGAACAACTTTCTGTGAATTCTCTTTATCTTATGGTTCCAACTTTTTTTTTTTTTTACATCAAACAATGCAGTCACTCAGTTCTTCACTTTCCAGTGTTGAGAAGCTAATGTATCAGGTAATAGTTATAAGCAAACCATGTGCAATGTGTAAATTGGTTAGTGAGGTTCACCTGACCACTTGATTCTAACCCAGTGATGGTTAATTTTTTTTTTTTTGAATCTTAAATTATGCACCAATTTACTTTTATCTGACTTTACAATTTATTTAGATTTGTGCTTTCTAGGATGACCTCATGAGTCAACTCGAAGAAATTGATCACACAACTCAAAATTGTGCATTCATGGGTTTTAGTACCAAAAATATGAGCAAAGTATGAAGAAGAAACTGCTAAACATGACTCATTTTTATTAGCAGAGAAATCACAACTATTTGCAGCAAGCTCTTAAGATATCAAAAAATGCTTCTTATCAAAAACATATGGAGCACTAAGCATATGCAGGTCTCTTTACAGCTGTCTTTTAAAGTATATTTTTAATTCATCTAAATATTTTTAATTCATTTCTACTAGTCTCACAATGTTTTATAGACAGAAACTTCTGCAGAAAAATCTGCATTTTGGTTTCCCTTAGGCAAACTGATGTCATTTCTTTTACAGAGAAATATTTCTCTTCTTCTCAGAGATAAAGGAAAGAGCCTGTGACCTATATTCAGGTACTGGGGTTTTTCTGTATATTTTCCCCTAAATTAAAATTACACTCAAGTGTTGAATGCATGTGTGTGCGCGCGCACACACACATTTTCCAGATACACAGCTTCATATATTCATGAACGTTCACATATTAAATAAGACTTTGAGACGTTACATCATGTTCTGTAAAGTATACTATCCAGAGTTCTAGTGTATTAGGAACTGCGTAGTAGATTTACAAAAGCCATTTGGTTGTTTGTGGATTTTTCCATTTTTCTTTCTATTGGATAATGCCATAGTAAGCCAGTTTTCACATGTCACAACCAAGATATGAACGAAAATATAGCTACAAGCTGAATTATCAACTTATTCATTCTTTTTCCAGGCTACCGGAAAATGCAAAACTACTTTATAGAGGAACATTTATTCTATTTAAGTCTGAAAATGTCAGAATCCAGCAAATTAATATTTGGTAGCTTCCTTGGGAATTTGTTGCTCACATTTAACAACAAAGCTGAGCCATGCTTATAAACTTTATAATATAGGAGTTAGCCAAGAGAAGTGGTTTATATGAAATAAATCGCAAATGAATTAACAACCAACACAGAATTTTTTTCTGCTAAAATGAAAGTTATTGAGCCATTATGTTTCTTAAAGTATTTATTAGGTTTTATATACCTATAAAACCTTTCAAACATATGAGAATATCATGCCTGAATAGCACATAACATTTTGTTTCCACAACATATGCACTTGCTGCTGTGTGTTTTGTTCAGTTTTTTAAACTTGTTTACAGATGGTATAGTTAAAGATGGGCACTGAAATTCTAGTGACTGCAATGCTTTGGCAGCCAAACTTATTTTTCATAATTGTGAATGAATAATATCACAAGGCAGGAAGAGCTTGAGAATCTAGTGTCATCATAATAGTAGAAAAAAGATGCCTTTAACAACTTTTGCAAAGGAGAGTAAAAGTTAATTATTCACAAGATAACACATCAAAAGAGGCACCCTGCTTTTAACTAATCTCACTACATTTTTGTTTAACTTGATTTAGGCTGCATTAAGGCACATGCAATAGGACAAATATGAACATCTTTGGAATTAATCCAATAGAAATAGCAAAATCTACTTTTTAAATTTTCTTTTAAAAACATTTGTTTTTGTTATGAAACTCCTATACAAAATTATAAAATTTACATCATCTGAGCTGCCAAGGAGGTAAAAAGTATAAATTCTCCATATAATTAGTTCTTTTCATGGTACGTCAAACAGCCATATAAATACTTCAGCCATAAAGGGATTTGAGGAGAATATCTTAGTAGAAAACCAACCAAGGTTCTATAATAGTGTACTCCCCTTATCCAAAAAAAAGAAAAGAAAAAGAAACAAACAGCTTAAAATCTATGAAAATGACAACACTGGAAATTCACTGGCAGACAAACAGGAGAGATGCAAGCAAAGGACAAGAGTGTAGAAAGCATTTCTCAGTGCAGTTGTGCCCTCTGCATTCAAATGCTTGGAATGAAGTAAGGGACTTTTCTTCCGATGAGAAGCACCTTCCCAAGAAATGACACAAGGACAAGATGAGTTGGGTTTCTGGTCAAAAACACATGAGAGTTGAATGGATGGCATTTCCAGGATGCAACAGTAATGTTTCAACAGCAGAAGGAAGACACAGGAGTAACAATCTGGAGGAGGTGAGGCTCTACACAGAAGTGGTCACTCTGTCATTGGCATTATTGACCTCATTTTTGTTTGAATCCAGTCCTTTAGCAGCATTCAGATCATTCCGTAAATTCTCCACTGTCTTTTTCATGTTCTTTAATTCTCCAGGGTGTGGAGTGGCTCGCCTTAGAAGTGTCCTCTAAAAACAAACAGTGGAGTAAATGATTTCTTGTGTCTGTCTTCTTAAAATTGTATTTCTCTATTAATTAAATGGCTTTTCAGTTTTAACCACTAAAAGATTTATTAGTAGGTGTACTGTGAAATAGAAACATAGGTAATCATTTTCATTCTATTTACTCTAATAGCTGGGGCAAGAAATAAATCTAACAGCTGTAGCTGTATTACAGAGAAACAATCTACAAAAGGTGCTTTAGAGCATGCAAGGGTATTTGTGAAGCACCTGTCTGCAATTCCTTCAAGCGGCTGGAAAAGACAGGTGTTTAAGGAGTTGCCAGCAGATTCTACATGAATATCAAAGTGAGCGCAGAAGACCTTTTCCCTTTCAAAGCTGATGGGCTGCACAAACCTAGTATTCAAGAAGCTGAAATGTTGCTGTTTCATCTACAAACTTCATGACCTTCCTGCACATGACTAACTTGATATCAGCACTGGATGGGATTAATATTAACTGAACTGCTCTTAGATTAAATGTTTAAAACTAGATTGACTAGTTTTTTTACCACTGAGTTCACCATTCCCAGTTTAAGTATTTATAAAAATGATTGTTCTACTACAGCATTTTTTTCTAGCAGGTAATTTATGGATTTTGTATAGTTATCTGTTCTGTTTTCAAAAGAGTATTCCTATCTCACCAGGAAGAAATAGAAGAAAACTTCTTTTCTTGAACAACAGATTCTGCCACAAAGATATATGGCAAACTGATTTGAAACACAGAAGTTTCAAAAAGAGATTTATGCCATAATATGGGAATCTGATGCTCCAGGAAAGTGTATGAAGGGAAAAAGAAAACTGTGGTTCTTAAATAACATTGTCCAACAGCATGTTGTCCTATGGTGAAGTATTACTGGTCATGAAATGACAATTTGATATACTGATTATCTTGTAAGAATACTTGGGCTCTGGGTCCAATTTACCTCCAGAAATTATAGATGATTATTCAGTTCTATTCATGCTTTACCTGCCAATTATGCCAATAATATTTACTTCTGAAGAAGAGATGTGCATATAAATGTTGTGGATATTTGCTTAAGATGCTATATCCAATATTTCAAGATGTATCTGCTCTTCAGAACTTTATAGCATGTACTATGGGAAATAAACCAGAGATATCAGTAGCCACAGTTGCAAGTTCTCATATGTAAATAGCCAGATCTACAAGCATACAAGAATTATACTATAATATTGTCTTATAAGCCACAATAATTACATAACCAAAAGATAAGAACACAACCTGATATTACAGGTAGTCCTCACTTAACAACCACAATAGGGACCAGAAAATTTGTCATTAAGCGGGGTGGTTGTTAAATGAGTCACCACATGACTGGACTTGATTTTATGACCATTTTATTATGGTCATTCAGTGAATTGCTGTGGTCATTAAGCGAATCCATCTTCCCCAATGGACATTTTTGCCAGAATTTGCTTAATGACCACGTGAATTGCTTAACAACCATGGTGATTCACTTAACCACATGATTCACTTAATGACCACAGTGATTTCCTTAATGACCATTGCAAAAAAGCTCACAAATTGCAATCATGTGATTGTGGGGGGGTGCAATGGTTTGCAACAGTCATAAGTGTGAGTACAGGTCATAAAGCACTTTTTTCAAGGACACTATAACTTTGAACATCATTAAACAAACAGTCGTTAAGTGAGGACTACCTGTACTCTAATATCTGTAAGATTACTGGAGTGCAAAATAATTTTCAGTGCCTCACAACATTATATGGTACCAAATATTGTATTTTTACCATTGTTTAAAAGGAAGTCATCCACTGTGGAACCACTACTCTACCATCAATAATTGTCTTGTTACAGTGCCAGTTAAAATTGCCCTGATAATATTTATGTAATTTCAACAACCACTGAACAATTGCTATGATTATATAATCAACAAAGTTGTCTTTTATTGTATATATGAGGTCTAAACAGCTTAGTGTTAATAACATTAAGTCTGTGAACTACATGGTCCTTAACATTTTAATACGTTTTGATGAAATTAAATGAATTATAGCAATCCTCACTGCTTGACAGGAGCATAGTTTTTATATAAAGGGTGCAGGTTTTTATCAGCCTTACTGATTAGGGAGGGTGAAGATTGGAGTAGTCAGAGATTGTGGTTAAACATTAATTTTTCAAATATATCACTAGTTAATTAGGGTAGGAAAGTGTAGAATCATTTTGGTCTTCTTTAATCAATTATCTAATTATATGAAAAAAATCATATTTCTATAACTAAAAACGTAATGATGAATTTTCAAAGCAGGAACATTCCTTTAGTATATATATTTAAATTTATTTTAGGCTCATGCTACACATCATTTCAGATGCTGACTTGGTTAATACACTCTACTAAATTGTTTTCTTAACTATGGTTTTCTTAACAATTGCTTGGGTTCCCATAACCAAGCTATATGTTACAATTTATAAACCATAAAGCCTGGGTTCACACAACAAGCTAAGCCAAAGTTTTGGCTTGGGTTTAGACATAAGAATATCTTATGTCTGAATGCCAGACAAACACACCTATCACACAGTTACAATTTGGAAGCATGATTGGTTGCTGCTTGACATCTGAGCTTCCTTCAGAACAACTTTGGATGTGCTTATGTATGTATTTCAGTAGAGGTCTCATAAGTACAGTGACAGATGCTCCCACCAGACCCTCCTTCATTTGAGCAGGATACCAAACTTTTCCTGGTAGTTCAAAGGTACTGTATGCAAATGGTTACGAATTAGACAATGGAAGTGACAGCAGGGAGGTGGATGAAAAGGGGGTGGTGGTGGTGGTGGTGGTAGCAGATGGACCAGTAGAAATCTCCCAGAGACCACTGCTTACAAAAACAAAACTTTGCACCTTTCATAAGAGTTCTTACTCTATTTTGGCTTTGGGGAAAACCAAATCCTCCTCCTCCTCACCAAAGAAGTAAAAAGAAGAGAAAACTAGCGTACAGTCATGTCTTTAAAACAAAAAGGCTTTGATTTAAAAAAAACAGACTGGGCTCACAAACCGTATGTAATACAGCCCACTGCTACTGTGAGCAAAATATGCATAGAAAACTCACCATTTCATTATCTTCTTCATCTTTTTCATCTTCTAAAAAGCGGATTGCACTGACTCTGTTTATTGCCCGTTCATTCCATGTTTCATCTGACATTTCATTTACCAAGTTCTCCAATGCGCCGCACCGGGGAAGATTATCTGTTATGACAGAGACAAGTAGAGACAGCAAATTTGTATGTCAGAGGTGAATGTCACTGCGTATTCAACAGTTTGAATGCCAAGGTTTTTCTTGATAGAAAACTATTTGAAAATAACATTCAACATTCACTTGAGAGGTCAACTGCAAAGATCTTGTCAAATGAAGTATTCATATAATATTGGCAACTAGCCTATTATGCAATTTCTTATTTGGTCATATCACTGGATGATGCCCTTAGCTGTAGAGTCCTCACTATTAGACTGTTTTCCACTGCTAAACTCTCTATTCAATGATCTGGTAAAAACGTATGTTGCTTAATAACCTTTCAGTTCTTGAAACTTACTGTTGTGAAATAAAAAGCATACATTTGCGCATTAATAAACTCCATTTTATTTTGTTCAACTATGCATATTTTCAGCTTAGGAAAGGGTTAAAATTGGTTAACCGCCCAGAGTCGATAGGAGCTGTATGGCATATACATTTAATAAATAATAATAATAATAATAATAATTATTATTATTATTATTAT